CTTGTAAAAATACACAATCTCTCTAGATCCACCAAAAAAAGTTTCCTCAAATGTGCATCAGTTACTTTCTGATTAAACAGTTTGTGATTCAGAATTGCTTAGATCTGTTCATCTGCACCATTACTCACCCATAAAGTACATTTCCCCTTCTCCACACAAGAAAAAAAAAAAAATAAAGAATTTAAAACTTTGGTCTTTGCTTCTTTGTGTTACAAACCGCCAGTCTCCTGCACCAGTTTAGGTAACAGCATGTGTATGTAAAAAGGCTGAACAAGACTTATTCCAGAGCCATAATCCTGCCAAAGTATTTTTCTGGGCTCCTTATGTTTTGATATTAGTGTTTACTAATGGCCAGATCCTCTTTAATTCCTTTAATACAAATGTAGGGATAAACTATGCTAGAAAAAATAGTGGGATAACAGACATTCTAGAAATAACCTGATATTCCTTCACGTGTACTTTAATCACACCTTTTAGCTATGATTGCATGACTTCTCTTAATCTGTTCATTCATTTTTGGAAATGGGAACATTTTAAAAGCGTAGTTCCTGTGTACTCTGACAGGTATTTTTGTAACTCTGCAACTGATTTTCCATTTTTTCCTCTTTTCACATACTAACCTTACTGCTTTTATTAAGCCACACAATCATTCTCCCTTATAGCCTCTCAAGCCCCATTCTTCCCTTGCTCAAGTGTTCTTTAGCTTCTTCTATTGTCACACCTCTGTGTATCCTCCAGCTTCCACCATGATTTAACTTTCCATGCACTGGAAGGGTGTAACAGTTAAGAAAAGGTCCTTATAAGTGCACCTGTGTAATGTCTTTTGGGGAAAAAAGAAGTGAATTCTGTTTCTTGTCTAGGTAAAATAGCAGCTGCCTCAGAGGGACAGGTTTTACAAGAATCAGTTAGTTGCAGCACTACAACTCTACCATCCTGAGCTGCAAGCTTCAGTGTCATCATTTACTGTTCCCATTACTCAGTGTAGTCACTCTCTTATACCCATCATATCATGTAGCTGCACATGAACTCCTCACAGCTGGACTCAATGCTGTTGGTAGCCAGAGGAACATCAAACACACCAAATCACTCAAGTTTACTGCTGAGCAGAGAAACTCAAAAGTGCTGTAACAGTTAAGAAAAGGTCCTTATAAGTGCACCTGTGTAATGTCTTTTGGGGAAAAAAGAAGTGAATTCTGTTTCTTGTCTAGGTAAAATAGCAGCTGCCTCAGAGGGACAGGTTTTACAAGAATCAGTTAGTTGCAGCACTACAACTCTACCATCCTGAGCTGCAAGCTTCAGTGTCATCATTTACTGTTCCCATTACTCAGTGTAGTCACTCTCTTATACCCATCATATCATGTAGCTGCACATGAACTCCTCACAGCTGGACTCAATGCTGTTGGTAGCCAGAGGAACATCAAACACACCCAATCACTCAAATTTACTGCTAAGCAGAGAAACTCAAAAGTGCAAGAATAGGACAAACAACAGAAAGACATATTTAACTAAACGTGAAAGATGATTCTGGAAGTTCTCATGGACTTGCATGGGTGTAATTAATACCCAGTATATCATCATCATCTTTTTTTTTGGTAATAAAACAAAATAAAAATGTAAGTGAGGAACAGCACTGTTAGTGGCAAAAAAAAGATGCGCAAAAAGGAAACCTATATAGAACCCATCTGAACGTTTCCCTACAGCTGGCTGCTTATAGACAGCATCTCTCATCCCAATCTCATAAAACTACGCATAGAACAAAAAAAATCAGAGGTCCAGGAAGTTTCAGGAAATAGATCCAGTGACACAGAAAAATCTGTGATACCCAGCACACCGGAGTTCATAGATTTTCTCTATGGTTCACTCTAGAATAGCCCTAAACTTAAGCACAGCATCATCCTTCCGTGCCCACAACCATGGCAGTTTCTAGTCCCAGGAATACCACATGATAAAGGTAAGAAAAAAGGAATTTTGAGGCACACTCTGGAACTACGTCTACATCTACCATAGATCAAGTTTGGCTACTAACCATCTCGTTTAGGAGCCCGCTCACTCTGACAACTGGGAATAGGCAGAAAGAGAAAAGGTGGCAGCTGGTCAGCTCCATCCTGGAAAGCAGCCACAGCAGAGGAGGCAAGCACGTTGGCATGCTCGGAGAGCGTGTTCAGCACATGCACGTTTACATAGCCAGACATAAGATACCTAATCAACTCAATTTTTCTTTCATGGTCTGCAAACGGAATGGAAGACACACAAGAAAAAAAAAAAAAAAGGATGGTAGAAATATGCAGGTGAGAGAAAGCTGGAGAAGGAGGAAATTAAAAGGTGAAATGGAAAACAACCACAAGAGTTCAGCATGCAGTATTACAATTAAGCAAAGAAAACCAAGGATCATTTCAACAAGACTGACTCACTAAACAAGCATGTTAGAGAGCAAAAAGATGAAACAGTTAATGAATAAGCAAATTTCCAGTGAAGTGCTCAGTAAGCACATAAAGAGCCATGGCCAGATCTCATGGAATAGGAGGTTCAGCGCCTCAGGAATGTAATTCTACCCTTTAATGGACCAAGAAGCACTTTCTAAAAGAGGAGGTTGGAAAGAACACATAAAAAGGGAGATGGCCAGCAAAGACAGATCCAATGCCCTTTGCAACATTCACTCCATTACATTTCTTGGTGTCCTGAATCCCTTAGGAATACACTTCACCCTTCCTGTTCAGTAGCAGACGTGTGATGTACAGAATTCCAGACCTGTTCTCACCTGGCTTTGAGAGTGGCATCGGGGGAGGGAAGAATCTTCGGGAAGGCTGTGGAGGGCTACAGAGAAATGAAAGGAGCTATTAATATAGAGGCAGCTAAACAAAAAAATCCATCTACAAATACACACACGTATGTCTCTATACACACACACCCCGAGCACAGTCCTTCCACCCATTTCTCCTCTCTAAAATTATCCTCACAATCCCACAAAAACAGGTAGATATCACCTGTCAGGAAAACAAGTGGACTCAGCACACTTCTCAGACCAGCCTATGTCCTTTTTCTACTCTAATTTAATTAATCCTACCTATCAGTAAAAAAAATTAAATAAATAAATTTACAATTTCCAACTGCTCTACCCCCATTCTGCACTGAAAATTTAGGCAGGTAACAGGCGTTTCCCAGAATAACTAAAGGGAAAGGAACAAGCCTCAGCTGGCATTTCCTCTTAACACCAGCACGTGCTTCCTCTTTGCAGCTGCTGCCTCCAGCAGGAGGGTGAACCAGGCCCAGAGTCCAGGCAACAGCCTCTTCCTATCCCTACGAAGATGACAACAGTGACTAGAGGTCCTTTCCCCCCACCAAAAATTCAAATGCTCAGCAACTTTGCCACTAGTATGTCAAAAGGTTGAGAGCCTTTTGTTTTCCATGTCTCTTTGTTTGTCATCCCACCTTCATACATGAGGCACTTGCCCTGAGGGAATACTGCATCTTGGAGCACTGATCTCAGAACTCACTGGGACCACCACTGGAGATCACCACTGAAGTTCTGAGTACAATGTTCTACCACCACAGCCTTTGTAGGGTGGATGCAGCTGTATTGGCACAGCGGCTTCCCACGTTTGAGATGGCAGAACAATTGCATCACTCACTAACAAAACACACTACACTGGGTAAACAGGCCTCAGCCAGCGCTCTCACCCCCGGCAGGAATCCGACTGGGGAGGGAGTGGCTGTATAATTTCAGGAGTATGAAAAAGCACTGCCTGAACTGCAGAGCGAACCCGAGCACGACCACAGAGCCCTTCTGCCAGAATAGTGAGCGGTACCTGTTGAGATCCTGTCCTTGCAGGTGGAGAGGATGCTGCTGATAATGGCCAAAGACTTCAAACACAATAGGCTTTGTCTTGATGTACTCCACAAAGGATTCCGTCACTTCCACAGCAATCTATTAGGCAAAGCAAGGGAAGAAAATGAGACATACAAAAAGGAAGTCTTCTAAGTCTGGATTTTAGGAGTCTGTATTTTTCATACAGTTTAGTATCATGGTAAAAGCAACTGCATTCCTTTTTGGTTTAGGCATTAATTTCACTCTCCAATAAAGGAGAAAATGAAAGCCTCAACATCAGGCATTTTAAGTAGGAGAAGAAGGAGTACATGTAACCAAAGGATTACACAGTTCATAAAAATAGACACATTCAGTTCATCTGAGATCATGAGCGCTGCTATTCACAAATATTTTATTTCCTGAATTCTAGACTGCTTTCATTGAACATCCTGGAAAGGAAACGGAGAATTCAAGGGCAGGAAGCAGAGGTGAAACAGAAGAGTTAAATCTGCCACACAGAATCATTCCCTATTTTGTTCTCCATTGGGGATTACATCATTCACCTCATCACCCCTCCTACTGTCTGTTCTTAAGAATTCCCTTTGTCCCCCTTTCCCATACACCTCAGGAGTTTAAGGAGAAGGACGCACACAACTCCCAGCCCTAAAGCAGGCACTTACTAAGCACAGAGAGTTTTACTTACATTCTGAACATGATAAAAGCCAAGGGGAGTCCCTCGACCATTGTTTTTCAGAGGTTCTGTTGAGAAAGCTTCATCATGCCGATGTAAAAAGCTTTAAAACAAACAAGCAAGAAACCAAAAATAAACCACCACAGAACAGTTCAGTGAAGATTGCTGTGCTGTGAACCCAACACTGAAATGAAACCCAAGAATTTATTCTGCTAGAACTTTACAGGGAATTGAGTGATGGCCTAAAGCTAGAAATACCCTAGTCTTTGGGACTACAATTTCTGTGCTTACTTTGTGTCTTTATTACTCCCATTTTTCATTCTCTTTCTTAAGAAATTAAGCCAAAGAACATTTTTATTGGCGAGCTACCGAGATACTCCAGGTTCACATAGCTTTCATTTCAATTGAGCTATGTACAACTTAATACCAAATTTTTCACATTAAAAGCCATTATCAAGCAAAAACCTGAGATATCTATAACTAGATCCTTTCCGCAAAACTTTATTCTTTAAGACCATACTCACACAAAGCAGGTACTGCTGGTAACAGGAATCCCAGTAACTGGCAAGGTGTTTTTCTATGCTATACCACACTGCCACTGACTGGAAAAGTCTCAATCAAACCCTCCATTGCCCATTATTATTTGCAATCTCTATCAAATTCATTGCCAAACGTAAATAAGGACAAACTCTTACTTGAACTGGCAGAAAATATCTGCATATTCAGGAAGGATGCCGCTGGCCTGCAGCACTGTCACACGGAAGGTAAACACACTGCCCAGTTTCAAGTGATCACCAATTTCCTCAGTGAATCCTTCCATAGTCATCTTTCCATCCAAAGTGGCTGACTTCAAGTCTTAGGGAGACACAAACATCCCACGTGAAATAACTTTTCTTTTGGGTTTTTTTCCCCTTTCTTTTCTTAAAATATTCCTTCAGGCATCACTTTAATCCTATCCCACTCTTTTGGTTTTCTTTTCAGCCCAAATTATTTGCTGATAATCAAAAGCCCCAAATACCTGGGAACAGTTTTTTTCTTCACAGTTCATCAAGTGAATAACTCCAGCATCTATTATATGCAACCCACCGGTTACACCGCTCCCTACTTGTCATGTTCTTGAAGGATACTCAGAACCCCTTTCTACCACAACTGAAAAGTGTTCCAGATTTCCCTTAAGCTCTCCAAAACTATTACATACTTCTTGCTCACCTAGCTCATTCGTTCTGTTGATCTCCTCTGGAGGAGTGGTAACCTCTGAATTCTGTCCTTGTCCTTCCACAATTCTTAACTCTTCCAATGACAGTCCAGACCGAGTCATCGCAACTGAAGAAAAATCATTCTGAAAAAACAAAGGAAGGTGTATGTAACAGACTCTGTAGCTTCTGGATTTCCCATCCCCTTCTTCCCCCACATTACTTATTCTTTATTTAGAAGCACAAACCAATGCACGCAAAGAAACCTAACTCAAATTTCAAAGAGTTGTTACCTTATCAAAATATTCATTGTCGAATGAAATTTTAGCTGTGCCAGACTGTCGAATACCAGAGCCATAATCTGGGGCTTCTTCATCAGCTGAAAAACAGGGGGGGAAAAATGAGGAGGAGGAAAAGGAAAAACAGAGTTACCTAAATGGAAATTCTGATTACAATGGGAACCAGTCCATAAAGTGGAAGAGTTCCAGTTATCCAGTAACAGATTAGAGTAAGTGCTGAAAAAAAATCATAGCAGAAATCTATCCATCATGAACTCAAGTGTGGAAAAACAACAAAGCAAGCTATTAATTTTCATCACGAATACACTTTAGAGAATTTTGAATGCAAAATAACTTCAGTACTCGTTCTGATTATTTATTTACTTCTGATTACTATAGCTGAGGTGAATTAACATACCATGATACAGGGACCCACCTGGAAATGGATCCTTACATTGATTTAAACTGGCATCTAAAATTCACAGACTAAAGCAGTCCCACTAGCACAGCTTCACAAGTACCCACTGCAAGTCTGAAAGGTGGTTCTGTCCATACAATCTGTCCATTTAACCTCCTCCTCTTTGTGGAGTAACAACAACGAGGCCTGGTTAAGTGCCAGGTATTTTTTCCCCAATAAATGCATGTTTGCAGGAGAAATCCCAACATCCTGAATGTGCTCCGAAACTTCGCATAGGGACCAAATAATGCCATGGTCCTTTTTTAAGAGTCCAGTTCCATTTCTATTGGTCATGGTATTCTATTTATTTAGATGGATAAATAGAATATTTAGTTGGAAATATTTGGTCAACGCTAAGGAGACCAAAGCGAGCTAGAAATGAGACTTTTGTACACATTAAAATAGATTTTATTTTCACTTGCTGGTTTAGTCCCTGCCAGAGTGATTCTTACACATCTTCAGGCTCTGAGATTTCATTATACGTTCCCATGGAGAGCGGAGCTTCCAGGGTTACCCCACCTAAACAATAAAGAGAGGCTGGCAGCCAGCCACTGCTGGAAAGGACAAATGATGGGAAGTATCTGTGCTCTCCCCAGCATGGGTAAGACACAGCTAACTACCAACAGCAAACTCAACTAGCTCTCCCCACGCTGGAAAAGTATGAAGTATTAGCAGCTGAGTAACGGACAGCAGTTAAGCTCTGGACACATACAATACCAGCTCGAAACTGGTGGAAGCAGGCACCATCCCCCTGTATCTACCCTTCTCTTCTGAGAATCCGATAATTCTTGCTGATTAAACAGTATGTTAAGTTAAAGCAGCTTCTAAGTCTCAACACATTTTAGTGAAGCAATGAAATGGAAAACTGCTGCTGATTTCTGTTTATAATATGCTGAAAAGTGTCAGTTCAGGAACTTCTTCACATGCTATTCAGCCAGAGAACAGCAGAGCACGTTTCTGGGCATTATTTAAAAGGACTCTTTAAGAAGATCAAACGTGGTACATTTAACTTTTCTGCAAGTCATCACAACGACCAAACTTGCATAGACCCTTGTCCACTCTTTATACTGGGAGCCAGAAAGAAAACCTTTGCTCTAATTTTAGTTTTTAGTCTTACTGACACTAGTTAGCCCTTCCACTGTCTTAAAAAGCACTGCAGCATTAGTTGCCAGGTATAAACTTCAGTGGTCAACACCAGCATTCTAAAAGCTTCTGATCAGTAGTATTATTTCAAGATTTATTCATGCTTGGTCCATATGATTCACAGCAATGAAAAAATTTCGAAAGTTAACAATTAAAAAAAAAAGTGTTCTTTGCAACACTAAAAACACTAAAACAAATCAACACTCAGATTTGATTTGTTTGCCTGCTTTTTAAGGCTGCAGCTATTCAGAGTGTACCAGAGAGTTGCAATACAAAGCTCCCGGGGTGTCTCACCTGCTATAGCTTGCACAGCTACGCGCAGAAATCCTCGCACTTCTCCTTTCTCACTCACAACAGCTACTCTGTGAATAAGAGGCACCGGGTACAGCAGGTTGCTCAGGTACACGAATGCTCTGGAAGGAAAGAAAACACAAACAGCATGAGGCAATCATCTGCAAACCCAGACCGCAGTAATCGGCTGGGTAACGGGACATTCAGATCTTCAGACAGTCTACTTTAGTCCTTCTATGAGACCTGCCCCGTGGCCGTGTATCCACACTGTCCACACAGGGCTCCTCGGCAGTGTCAGAGCTACAGGAAGCTACAAAGTGCTCTAAATCAGAGTCTATTGGAGACACAGGGCTTGTATTAGTGAGTTACAAAAACACATGAAGGAGACGATTTAAGATGATGGCTTTCTACAGTTGTCAACGGAGCTGTTAGCAAGATGGTAGAAGTCTACTACGGAACTACTGATTATAAAGAATTGTTGAGTTTTCCACTCCATGAGTGTAGTTTGTAGTGAGAAATGAAAAGGGAATTGATCTACTGTGCCTCAAATATTGTACTGAACACATGAAAACACTCTTCAAAACAGATTGACCGAATGTTTTCTCTTTTCTACACACATTTGATAACACTGCATACAGAGTAATCAGAAATCCCCAATAAACCATAAGTCATCTCTTAGGTTTCTTGGAAGATTCACTGAGTGTACAGACAGTGGAAGACTGATAGTCTTCATAGCTAAATATATTTAGGAGTAATATATTCGTTTCTTAAGAAAAAATAAAACAAACAACAAAAAACCCCCACAAACGATGACTCACCACAACAGTACTCAAGACTAATTGTGTAGAAATTACAGTTTACAATAGGAAAAGCAGCATTAAGGGCCAGTACTGGATGATCCTGCCATACACTAACTTTTAAAGTTATATACAAGCAGGGTCTATCTTGGAACAATAAAGTTCACAAGTTTTATTGTAAAGATTTTTAATTAAAGGTTAGATTAATGTTATTATTTTACTTTTCTGCAACAAATTGCAAAAGTTCTTAGAACACCAGACACTTCTGTGTGATTAGCTTGAGCAAAACTTAAAATGTTGAGATGCCTGACGAGTCAGGTAAGACTGGCTCTCAACAAGGGGTAAAAGATTGAAGGCTTTAGTTATTGAGTGAACTGTTTCAAAGTTCATAAGAATACTGAGACGATATAGAAATTTAACCAATAGTTTTACCAGTGATTAGACTTAAAGTGACTAATTATTTATGGAATTATTATGAATTTATGCATATTAAATTATACTAAATACCAGTCATTGGTTTAACCGGATTCCCTCCTTGCAGTCCTTTATATTAGTCTTTATTATGAAAGCAGAATTCCTCAAATTTATAACTGGTATTGTTTAATATTCCGAGGGAAAGTCCTGGGTGACAGAAGAGGACTGAGAGGGAAATAAAGCTGTTCACTGCCTCTGTCAGGAGCCATCAGCTGCAGAGTGTGCTCTGTGAACAGTGAGGCTGGTCCCACCTCAGCCCCCTGTGCCCCAGCCAAGGACCAAGGGCAGGGAAGGGAAGTGTTTCCGTGAGTTCATGGGCCCATTCCCAGAACGAAATTCTCTTGAAACAACAAGGGAGTCAAACAGGTGTCAGTTGAGAACCAAAGACACACACACAAAAAGAGCAGCTATGAAAAACCAAAGTGGTGACAAAATGCAATGGAGAAGAGAATGATTAATAAGGCTATAAAAGCACCAAAACAAAAACTGAAGAAAACCATACAACAGAAAAAACAACTGCAACATAACACTTGACTAAGATTAGGATCTAATTCCTTTTCAGTCTGCTGCAAAGTGAGGTAAGCACTGATAACGCAGGGGAAGGGAGAAGAGACTAAATTTAAAGTAACAAAATGGGAAGTTGTGTTGGCTTTTTTTCTTCTCTAAGAAAACATTTTCATTTTTAGCTTTGACATTTCAGGTGATGCCCATTTGAGAAAGCAGCATCCCACCACACAGGAAAACAGCCCCCCACACTAACAAACTGGAATCATTCACTTGGACCGGACGAGGGATGGAGTTCAGGAAGGTATGTAGTTATATGCTCAACACAAAAAACACACACAGTTTGAAAAACACATTTTAAACTAAGGAGAACAGACATTTTTCCCCCACCAGGAATCTAAATTGGATTGATATGTACAAAGCAAGAGACAGTTTGAGTAACTAATAGAGGCAGTCATCACAGAACTTCCTACTTTGATTCGAACTAGTGGAAAGTGAAAGCGTTAACTGCATGAAAAATAGAAGTCTATTTTCACTAGCATGGCTGAAATTCTGAAGCTGCTGTTCAACGTACGACAGCCAAAGCATTCAGGTTTATTAGCAACTACAATTTTGTCACCTCAGTAAAGTGTCAATCGCAAAGAAAAAGTATTTATCTTCTTTAACCTCCTTCCATCCAGTCACCTCGCTCACTGGAATCATTTTAACTTAGAGAAAGAAAAGCACATAATGCAAAAAGTTTTAAGCTTCCTGTTTGGTGACAGAAATGCTGGATCTCTTCTGTAGGATGCAGAGCAATAGCACATTTGCTGTAGGCAGAAAAGAGCTGGTTTTGCAGCGATGCTGCCTCCCAGCACCATTCCATCTGCTTCGTCACAACACACCACCGAGTCAGGAGTGGATGAAATGTTAAGGTTCTCCTCCTCCTCTCCCCACACCTGGGAGGACTCCCACTCCCCAAAGAGCCCATACGCAAGTGTCCCCCTGCACCTTAGCCCAGCAGACTGAAAGGGGGGGGAGCTGGATTAGCAGAAAGATTGGTGAGGTAAAATGGCATACTCACAACAAAACGAGAAATGAAATTTAACAAACACAAGTTGTTTTCATAAAAAAAAAAGTCAAAACAAAACCAACAGAACTCAGAATGATGATGGGTATTTTTTAAACAAACACATCAATTTGAGATTTAAATAAAAGATCCCATAGTCCTCTCCCACCACCCTTAAAAACACAGCAAATGCTTGGCGTGTCACACCCTTCCATAGAATCAGCCTTAAAGACAACCCAGCATGCCAGAAGAGATGGCTAAAGGGACCAGCTCTTTTTTCCTTTTCTTTAATATATATAGTATAAATAAAAGACAGTCACAGCACAGAGAAAGAAAAAAAAATACTCTGATGCCCAAGGAGTTGGGTAACTACATGATCAACTTCTTCTCCTCTCCTTCGTGACCTGGACTCTTTATTGCTGATGATCCCCTCAAAAATCCCCTCAAAAAATACTATTTTAGTTTTGTCCTATGATTCCACAACATATAAACCAGTCCACAGTTGAAAGCATTAAAGAATTTTGGGTTTGTTACAAATTGAACACTACCTTGTGCTCAAGATAACATCTATGTAGATGGATGCAGCCTCTGATATTTGTGAGTCCCACTGAGTTCCACAAAAGTGGAATTCTCACGCTGGAAGAGACTGAGGAATCCAAACAGTTTCTACTCAGCGGCGCTGAACAGCCCAATGGTTTTCTGCTGACAGAATCAGCACAATAGAAAGAACAGGAATAGAAACAGAAGAGAATGGAAACCAACGACTGGGATAAAGTCATTCAGCTCTCTGCTGGGAGATAATACAAACCAAGTTTCACTCCTCAATACACTTTACAACCCAAGTAAGAGCTCCTCAATACGTGCAGGTCTCGTGTACCCTTAACTGCTGCAGCTCCACGTCTGGCTACAGACAGAGCTCAGTATTCTTTTTAATACATGGAAACGGGAAGCAAGTTGTGTAATTGCCAGGAAGCACGACTGTTTTCATTATACACTCTATTTGCTCAGCTTGTGTCGTGCTTCCTGAAGAGTTTGTGAAATGAAGATGAATAGCTCAACTTTTTCCCAAGCTCTGAAGGTCCCGCTCTGAAAGAAGAGGCACAAGAGGAGAATACGCCGGGTTTGCCAGCGCGGGCACCAGAAAGCAGCCCTTCCCAGCACACACTGACACGGATGCTTTCACTCACTGACAACCACTGCCAAGCCAGTTAAGGTGGCTCTCCCAGACCCACTCTGGGGGAATCAGATTCACCTGAAAGAACTGAATTTTATAAACCACGTTATCAGACATGGCACACGAGAGCATGAATTCACAGAGATCAAAGAGAACTAATGCAGTTTCTTGCATCTTTAGCAACTGCAATTTTTGTTTCAAAGACTGGGTCGAGGAAGTTTGAAGTTTAATCACAGTCTGTAAATAGGTCCACTAAAGACAAAGACAGAGGTTAGACAATACAGCTAAACTGACCTAAAGGCTTGATAAAAGACCGACAAGCTCAGTCCCTCATTTTCCCAAACACTGCAACCAAGCTTCCTGCATTTGAGGAATCCACAGAAAGATCCCGCCTTCCTGGCCACGAATCCTTCAAGCTCTGGTCCCTTCTCCTTTGTTCCTCCCTTCCGCCGGCCACGGAGTCTGACCCCCTCTTTTGCACAAGGCTTACGGTGACCCCCTCCCATACAAGCAGACTGGCTCAGAGTGAGCAAATATGCAAAAAAAAAAAAGGATAACTTGGGGGAGTGGGAGCAGAAGAGAGGGGAACAAAGTCACTGAATAAAACCCTCCTGTTTCTTGTCATGAGTTACATGGTTGAGCAAGAGACTATCTGTGCAGAAACAGTGCAAAGTACTACATTTTTTAATGCAATTTGCTGTCCTTATGGTCCACACCACAGACAGGGGTCTGATGATGCCTTAATCGTATCTTGGCAAAATAGGTAATACTCTAGAATACATTAAACTTGTTTCAGAAATTCAATCATAGTGCATGGGGAAAGTGCTGATAAACACCACCAGCCGGTGAATTTTAATGATGATGCCCCTTCACTACCTTTCCCTACTTGCTACCGAAAGTCACGCACAGTCTGAGAAGAGAAATCATCTCAAAGAACATTCTTTTCCTCATCCAGAAAGGGACATTCTTCTTTCTCCTCGTGTCAACTTTTCTCTTCAGACACAGAGGATGTTAGATGAGTTTTCAAAAAATGGATGTACTGGATTGGACTTAAAGACTTTCCACCATACTCTGAGACTCTCTCCTCTGGGAGAAAATTACATGCTCCGATACTATCTTAGTGATCTTGCAATGGCTAAATAGAGCACTCTTATAAATAATGCTTGAGTACTGTACATAAGCAAACCCACACTCATTCTATGTTGTGACAGTTATCCAGAAATAGAAATATATTTACTCACATTGTCACATCTAAGGGTTATTTTCTCAATTACTGTTTAGGTCTTCATGGCTTCTAACATGGGAACTTTTAACATTAAATTACACTCATTCTCTGGCAATTCCAATTTATGCATATAGGTGTTTTGGCTGGCTTGACAGCTATTCAGTGCAGCGTGAGGCAAAGCCACTGCAGCCTACAGCAAGAGCTGGTCCCTTTTGGCCATTCTCAGAGTAACCTCACCAACCTTCCCACTAAAATGAACCAAGGGGATCGGTCGTAAAACGGGTCGCGCCCATCATTGAAGAGGTCTGATCCCTCCTCAGTTCCAACGTCGGAGCCAGTATCATCCACAAAGGCCTCATCATCAAAGTCCTCCATCTCATCCTGCTGTTCATCAGCCAGTTCAGTGATGTCGGAGTCAGCCGTGGAGAAAGTGGGGGAGGGCGTGCGATCAGCAAGACGCTCATTCACGCAGCCATGGAAAATGGGGGAGCTAGATATCAGTTAATGGAATACCAATTAACAGAGGGAGGGGAAAGAAGAATGCTTCAGTTAACAGCCGTCTGTTGCCATCAGCACAGAGACCACCTGAACAACAAGCAAAGGCTTCAAACCATGTGGACTGCAATGAAACACAAGGGAAGGGGCTGCTAACAAAGTCAGGAAAAAGAGCATCCTTGAACTGAGCAGAAAGCAAATGAAAAATTAATATAAACATGGCCGAACATACAGATCTTAACAGCACATCCATTTAAGAGAGCTACAATTCTTATTTCCAACGCAAAGCAATTTTGTAAATAAAAATACTGTAAAAGGTGTAGCCAACATCAGGAAATATTAAAGAATCCCATAGGGTGTAACCAAACTGTTTGAACTACATATGTAAGGCCCTGGGCTACTTGTCCTCACAGTTCCCAATGTTCTTCGTATTCTCACAGCTCTGCTTCAGTGCCTTTAGATAGAACTTGGCTACCTACATTATTTTTTTTTAAATAAACTTATGAATTACTAAGGGTTCACTCAAATCAGATTCTACAAGGTTACACCAGAACCGGTAACATTCTAAAGAGCATTTTCTGCTCTTCACTATATTTTAAGTCTATTGGAAGTCCCTGAAAGACAGCACACAATTAACACTACTGGCCATACAGTTTATAACCACTTTCAAAGTCAAAGTTCATCCAGAACTGAGAGGAGTTACCAGTGCACCAGCAGCTGAGATTATTGTCACGTACCTTCCAACAAGCTTGAACCAATGAAAGCGATCGTAGAAGGGGTCGCTGCCTGTCATCGTGCTTTCACCCTCATCCTGTGTGTTTGATGCCATCTCCCCAGCTCTGTCATACATCTCACGCATCAGGTCCAACCTCTGCCTGCAAAGAAGAGAGCGGGATTAAAAGAAAATTAATAGAGAGCAAATAAAAAGCAGGGAACATGAAGTGGGGTGCGCCAACTTCACCGGCACCAAATTACACACAGGCACAGGAGAATGAAGGACAGGGAGTCTGTACCACTAACTGTGGTACCGTAGTAATTCCCTGACACGTTAGGGATTCTGGGAGAATTTTGCAGGCTAAGCCCACTGAGCACGAGGCAAGGTCACTGCAGAAGCTTATGTAAATCTTGGATTTCATTCAAACTTCTAAATATTCTTCTTTTGCATCTAATTTTGGCATAATGTTTTGCTTCTTTTATTGCGTCAGATGTTGCTGAGTAATTTAGGAAGTTTTTTGCATTCCATTCCAGAAATGATGGCATTTTGATTCAAAAATGAACTGATTGCATTATAGATGTTCAATTATTCATTTATTTTATTGAAGAAAACAAGTGCTTTGCGCCACAAGATCCTTTGTCTGGAAGTTATTAGTGGAAAAAAAGTTCTTCAGTCAGTATTTAGAAAAAGTCTAAAATGTCTTTTGCCTAATTGCAAGAATATGACTAAAATAATTCAGATTGCAGCTTAGAATCTTCTTTATTTAAACTTTTTATTATAAGTTATGTACTGTACTACTACGTTATATAAAAGTAGGTGGTAAGGAAACTTTTGCAGTAAAAAGAACACGAAAAGAATTAATGCAGAGATGAGCGGTGATGAGCCTTATTAGATTTAAAAAAATAAAATCTAACCTCAAGTTAAAAAATTCAATGTGGAGGTGAAGTAAGACGTTGGAGAACAAATGCACCTGTTTAAAGGTTCAAGAAAGCTAGCATTTAAAACATATCATGCTGTCTGGAAAGTTGGCATTTGGGAGAACACAGAGAAAAAACAAGTACAACAGGGAACGAACCCCAAGGGGTGAAACATTTCAGTGAAGCTCCTTGGATATAAAGAAGTTTGTTGTCTGTTATATTTACATACTTGAGTTTTTCTAAGGACCAGTAATGCGTTGCTCCATTCTTCAGATCCTGGACTTCCACAGCTACCACCGTCCGGGGGAAAGGCCTGTTGTCCCGGGTCTTCTCCAGCTCAGGGGGCAACAGCTCTGGTGGCAGCGGCGAGTAGAGGGTGTCTGTCAGCAGCACAAACTGAAACTGCACCTGCATGGAAAAAAGGAAAATCACTTTAGTTCTGAGAAGTCACAAGATCAGTATCACAAAGGGGACAGAGACCTAACCTAAGCCAACGCAGGAAGCCAGTTTGACTTTCATCTCTGTAAACAGATTCAGGGGTTGTTTTACGTCACTTTTTTTTTTTTGGTCTCAAGTTGGCATAAAGCATGTTTTTCAGCTGAGTACAGATATCTTGCCTTTATTGTCACAGCTAGGAGAGGTCTGGGAAACTATAAACCTAGCACATCCTGCAGCACCCACTCCTCCTTGAAAGATGCGTTACCATATGAAGTTAAAAGCAAAAAGGAAGAGACAGGGCCTGGAGAAATGTCCGTGTACATGTGTTTATAATATTGACAGGAACAGCATAAGGGAAATGAAGAAAAGGAGAATATATCAACCACCCTTACAGAGGTTATTCTGAATCAGAGACTTGTGATTTTCTGAACCCTTTTAAAGCTCAAAGCCCAAACTAAAAAGTAAGAGACATATAACTTTAAAGACTACAAGTAACTCTGACTGTTTGAAACAGGACTGTAGAGTCAGAAAATTCAAAAAGCTGCTCTGCATGTCCCTACCTTTTTCTTTAACTCTACACTGATTGCATTGGCTTCTTTTAGATATACTGCATTTCCCCAGAGCTGGTCCCTCAGTGAAGTAAACTGGTGAAATTTCCACTTCCTGAAAGCCCACTGTGCGAGTTCATACTCATGTCGTGTCCAGGGCACTGGGAAGAACAAAGAAACAGAGAAATAAAACACTGCAGCAGCTTCTCTAAACCACCACATGAAGTATCTAACACTACTGCTGACTAAGGCATTAAGTTCTCAGCACCTTTTATGAAAGACAAGAACAGAAAACAAAAACCTGCCTTTTTATTATTCAGGGAGGAAAAACTGGATTCAAACTTCCTCACTACTAGCAATGGAGAGATAATGATCAAGTAAGGAGATATGGAACAGATAAAACAAAATAAATACCACTCCTATTATTCTAAGCTAGTTAACAATTATTAAAGCCAAATGCTGAAACAGTGGAATGAACGCAAGTATTATGGGAATAATAAACTCTATCTACTGTCCAGAAATGGAGTTACACAGACATGTCACAGCATGAATTCTAAGAATTCCTACCAAGGAGAAAAATGACATTTCAAAATCAAAACAAGGAAACAAAGGGAACAGTATTATTTTGGTGTAAAGACATCTGAACTCTGTTAGTGCCAAGAAGAGAGAGATTCCTTCCAATTCAAGACCACCAAATCAAAGCTTGTAGTTAAACTCATCTAGCTTGTGTGTCAAATTACTTTGGGAATGTATATCTACTGTTTATGTGGCACTTATTCTACGAGTAGGTACTTTGCATCTTTATGCTGTGAAGATTAGAGATCAAGAAGTTATGAAGTATCTCACTGCTTTCCAAAGCGAGTTTTCTATCTATTTCAAGAAATATTATAGCAACTACTCCTTTAGGCTTAACTATATCCACATTGGTTTTAGCTTCAAAACTCACCTTCTTCTTCCTCTTCCTCCTCCTCTGTCGTTTCGGCTGCCAGGGACCGTGTCTCTACCTGCTTCTGCAAGGCTTGCAGCTTACTCTCATAGTCCTGCGGGAGAGAGGAGACACCGTGTAGGACAGAGAGAAGCCAGGAGAGCAGGTCAGAGAGACTGACACCTCAGGTGGAATGACAGACACAGAGAACAAATACATAAGGCTGTTCCATTAATGCTCAGGGGTCACACACCAACATCTATGGGTTTAGTACAATCTGTCCTTGAAGAGAGAGAATTGCAGCTTACTCTCATAGTCCTGCGGGAGAGAGGAGACACCGTGTAGGACAGAGAGAAGCCAGGAGAGCAGGTCAGAGAGACTGACACCTCAGGTGGAATGACAGACACAGAGAACAAATACATAAGGCTGTTCCATTAATGCTCAGGGGTCACACACCAACATCTATGGGTTTAGTACAATCTGTCCTTCAAGAGAGAGAAGACAGAGGCCAAAACAATTCATAGAATAGCTTGGGTTGGGAGGGACCTTTAAGATATTAGAGTTGCTTTTCAAACCCATCAGATACACATGCTCATAGGATCCTTAAGAGGGAAAGGTTTAGCTTTTTCTAGTTTTGCTCAAGACTGAAAAAAGGGGATTTTTTGGGGAACCTGATTCCTGCTTTCAGGTAGGTAAGAAAGAGGTAGAAATAGAGAAAAGTACAGAAATAAATTTAAAATGAGAGGGTTATTCACCTTCATTTTCTCAAACAGAAGGATTAACAGCATCACTGATTTGCCTTTTGATACAAAAAAATCATTTTAGGGAAAAAAAAAAAAGACACTGTGTTTTCAATTAGATTTTCCTCTTGGGTTGGAAGCATCACTCTCTCACATGTGTATTTAATGTCAGAAGATAACAAAAACACCACCACCCTGGTACGTGGGCAGAGAAGTCTGTGCAGAGGTTTCCCCACAAGAAGCACTTCAACAATACCGTCTGGTGTAAGAGCATTTTCCTCCTGGTCAGCATAATCATGCCTTGAAATAAATGCTAATAATACTTAATGACCCTTTTATTATTTGCTGGTAAAACAAATACAAATTCAAGATATTTAGAACAGACACAGTCACTGTGTTCCTGGTCTCAGATCCTACCTCCTGACTGGATTTTATTTTTTGCAGATAATCCTTTGGCATATAATACACACATTAAACTAGCTTCTCAAGATTTTTATACAAGAATTACAACAATTCACTAAGAGGAGCGTTCCAGAGTTCTTAAGGAGGATTCATCCTTTGGCATATAATACACACATTAAACTGGCTTCTCGAGATTTTTACACAAGAATTATAACAATTCACTAAGAACATTCCAGAGTTCTTAAGGAGGATTATTGAAGCCACTCATCTTGTATTCCAACTTTCTCTCTTCCAGTTCCAAATCCTAAAATTCTTCTCCAATGCCCTGTTTGCAGTAATGCATTCTAAAACTAACAGCTACAGAAGGAAAGCTTTACCCTTTCCTCCCATCCTATTTAAGCATCCCACCCACCTAAACACCTGCATTACTTTGTTATCATACAGCAAGTATAGTTCTTAGCACTGCCACAATGTGATTACATTAAATTTAACCCAAGTTCAGTCAGAAAGACCTTTAGACAGTATTTGGAGACAAACCTAAAGTATATTCCTTTAAGTTTGTAAATCATATTTCCTGGAGGTGCCATTAAAAAACAGTAGCTGTGCTCCTAGAAATTGCCGAATTTTCAATACCATGAATTCAATACCCATGACCCTTAGGGAGAGAAAACTGAACTATTAAAGATATATGGTCTTCATATGAGGACTGTGTATTAATTTTCTAATTTTCTCTTGAACTTTTATTTGGCTAAAATTCTCCCTCTTCTTTGTTTGTGTCTGCTCCATTCACTCTAAGATGGCTCCATACCTACAGTGCAAGGAAACCTTAGCCCAGCAGCAAAAGAACTACCAAAAAAAGTACATTTTTTCTTTTGATATTCCTTCTAAAATTCCTAATGAGTCATCAAAAAACTATTCTAAACTCGGTGAGAAGTTTCAGGCTTATCTACAGATCTGAAATACCCAGCTTACTCTTAAAAATTCATTAACATAAAGGCACTCTCTGAGCTTTTTTCCCCCCTCATCCATGTAGATTATGCTTTTACTTTGGAAACCAAGATAAAACTGGTCAGATGGGAACTGATAGGAAGAAGCTCCTCTTATGTGCAATGAAGGGCAAAATAATTTATTTTCCTGTAGTCTGAAGTAGATAACCTGAGAATGTCATTTTGAGTGGCTAGATTGCAGAAATGAAGAAATGAAAAGGTCTTCAAGGACCGTTTAAGTAGAATCTTTGATCAGATTCTGTTGGAGAAATCGAAAAGCTGCAGAGGCAACGGTCAAAAATCAGGGGCATTCCACTGTGAAAATTCTGCTTCCAGCATGAACAAACCCAGGCACATTAAACACATTCACATACAAAGACCTGCTTCTTGTCTTCTCTATTTTCAGACTTGTGAGCCAAGTATGTGTAACTTCTGTACATTTAAATACCTAGATAAATAAATGCTGAATATAAGCAGACATTTTTTGACTCCACGCTAATAAACATTACTTTGAAAACTAAGTAAAAGAACTGACATTTGTTTTCCCATAATGAAAAAAAGAAATAGGTACCATTTCCCTAAGCAGAAAAACAGGACTACAGTTGCCTCCTGGAACTTGATACTAGAGTAGTATTTAAAAATAATTGGTGTTGAGCAACAGCTGAAGGATGAATTTCAGGTTGGTTGACGCAGAAGATGCACTGACTGCCCTGCAATAGGGCTTGGTTTGCTCTCCTGAGAGATTGGTCAGGTCTCCAGGTAAACATTTCCAGATCTGACTAGTGATAACACACACGTAATTGTTACTACCCATGTAAAGGTGCCTCAGCTGCTAGAAAAGAAAAAAACCTGCACCTCGAAGCAGCCCTGAAGGTCCATGCCCCAGACTCCCTGGAACCCACTGCATATTGTTCTCCAGCTTCAGACTGGTTGAAATCATTACCTCCACCCATGTGGAGAAAGGGAACACAAAGTTTCTTTTGCCCAGGGGCATGGAAATATCTAAAGTCACAACAATCATAGATTTTCTGAAAACAGAAAAAAAAGAAAAAAAAAAGTAATCATAGACTGAGACTAGGCCAAGCTTTTTAAGACCAGACTGGACCAGCTTTTTCAGCAGAACACTGGGCCATAACAACTCAGATTCTTTGGATCTATGTGATGTCTGCAAAGGTGCTGTAGTGTACACTCCCTCCTGTACTTGAGGCACACACACAAAAAAAATCAGTTTCTTTTGTCTTCAGTGAGCGAATAAATAGAGAACAGCCAGCTCTGTCTTTTCTTCCAGAATTTAGACGATCAGCACGCAAGATGGTACCATGGGACAGCCCTGAAGAGGAATATGGCTTGTAATTCCCTTGTGCTATAAAAAGCTCTTTTTGAAAAAAAAAAAGAAAAAAAAAAAAGCTCTGTGACAGTAGACATGAACTTGTGCAGGCTGCTTTCCACACAACAGCAGAAAAATCAGGGTGGACAGACTTAAAGAATCACACTGAGGAACAATTAAAGAAACCTCTTTAACTCTGCTGAAACAATACCAACCCCAAGACAAAAAAATGAAATCAGGACAAGCCTGTAATCAAGTTTCATTTCCATTTCACTGAGACAAGTCTGACACTTACAAGAGTATTTCATAGTTTATTGAAAGAGCACTTGTTACAATACAAACCAGTTCTGCTTTTCACAAGGCAGATGCTTGCTCTTAAAACAATCCAAAACTTGTTTTTTCTTAAACAATGGACAGATCTGAAAATCCCATTTTATTCAAAGGCAGCTCACTGCTTTCTTTACAGTACAAATGGGTACAACAGCACAGATTTCTCATGTCGCAGCTCCTGAAGTGGTTCAAGGGGAAGCATCCAAGTCAAATTTCAACATATAAAGGGTAAAGAACAAATTTCAACATATAAAGGATAAAGGACAAACAGTGAGGGAGATATTGGAACTATGCTGAATGTACTGATAAAAATAGCATCCTCTAATTTGACGGATCCCTAAATTCAGATTGCTTGAGAAAGGATGTTGAAGTCAATCAGAGGAGCGTTAGTGGCATGCGTTTGTCCCTACCCCCCAAATCCACGTGTCCCTAGTGAATCCTAGAGGATATTTAAGAACTCATCACTGAGGCACAGGTGGATACAAGCCAGCTGTCAAAGCACACAGCACATCAGCACTTAGCAATGGCAATTAAGCTTATTAAACCAGCGCTGCTATCACGGATGCCACATTTCCATCAACCTGAAAGCCTTTTCACCCAGTCTCCTCCGGAAGCAGCTGTGTTACTGCTCAATCGCTCCATGAACACAGAGTTTGGAGTGAGGGGTGTGCGTATTTCTTAACAACGCAAGGAGATCCACAAGCTCTCACATTGCTTCTCTTACCAGATGAGGCACTGCGCTGTAATTAATATTCAATTCAAGTGGATAATTATTTTTATAGGATTTTTTTTTTCAAGTTTCATTTCTATAATATCCTCCTAAAAGCCAGGAAAAAAAGCTGCTTCCTCTGAGCAGATGACATTTTGGCCTTGACTATCCTTTTTCTTTTTTTGTCAAAACATACAACAAGAACAGAATAAGGAGGGTTGCTTTTCCAGTGGGGTAAAGACTGATGGGGTAAAGACCCCACAGACTGATGGCAACTTATTGTTCCTCATCATCACCCCCACCCAGGCATATACAGATATTTCTTCTCAGATTTTTAAGCTGAAATAAGTTGGCAAAAACTTTTTAGTGTCTAGCGATAAAATATCAAGTAGTGGGAGTTTTTAATCTCACGTCAGTACATGTAGTTGCATGGACTTCAAAATTCCTCCATGTTCAATCACGTGGGGATTTCACGCGGTGACTGAACATGTGTTGAGCCACAATCCTCAACAGAAACGGGACACAAGAGAAAATTGCTCTGGTCTTCTCTCATGCCCTGTCCCGTGCAGACTAACTCTGCCTGGCTCACCTATTCCTACAAAATTGGGAGGATTTTCCCCG